AGGGAAAAAAATAGACTTAACCTTTAAGTTATTGCAGGCAAACCACAAAAAGTAGTATTATAGTTGGAATGTGGTATTGTGGCTAAATCTAAAAAAAAAAACTGTTTGAAAAGAGATACATAGAAAGGGCACAAGGTTCTATTTAAAAACGAGAGAACTCAAACGCCATTTTTGTTTATTTACATACAGATAATCGTAGGTGCCGTCTTGATGCAAAGGATATTTCTAAAGAATGCTTTATCGGCTTAACTTTTTTTTTTCGAACACAAAAAAGCCATCTGTGGTATCGGCATTGGCTAGGCACGAAACCGGCGCGGCGCGACCGGTCGTTTGGCATGCACCGCAACGGCATGAGTACGCGCCGAGCTTTGTTATCTGTGGCCCCGCCCTGACGCCGCACTGTGCCATCCAACATGGCCGCGCGGCTGTCTGGACTAAAAGCGCGCGACGCCCATTTATGGACCTAATGAAAACCACTTTTAATTAATTCACAGCAATCACACGCGTCGTGCATTCCAGTGCTTTTATGTTTATTGTTTTCATATCATTTTCAAGCAACGCATTTTGATTTCTCCAGAGTGTCACTCTCGTAATGCTTTGTTTGGTAAAAAGCTGCGCCTCCACAGCGGTCATTAATTAAACGCAACTTTTCACTTAATGTTATTGCATATTAGCGGTAATATTTTTATTTGTTGTTGTTGTGGGTATTTTGAATTTTTTGTTGGTCTGTAAAGTTGTGTGCTCCCTTTACGATGTTCTAGAAAAAAATATACATTTCTACTTCTAAGACCTACTTAAAGTGCTATTTTTTTGCTTATGGCCCATCTAGTATTAGGGTTACCGAAGTGATAGACAATGTGAACACCGTTATCCACCACAAGGCACTGAAGAGTTGCGATATGGCAGTTCGCATGTGTGCCCACATTGCTACTACTGGCGACTATTGGCAAACCTGTGGGTATGCCCCCGACATTGTGGTTTGACGACTTGGTGAAGGTAGCAGGAATACGCTTGATATGAACAGCGCAGGACTGGTTGGTGTGGAAATCCTTAAAGAAGGCTTTTGTTCAGCACTAACATTTTAAGACAGCGTTCGCCCAACTATGACTTTTAAAAATAGACATACGAATAAGACCCGTAAATAGAGAAACTAAAGCAAATGATTTCTTAAAAAAAAATTTTTTTTTATTACGCTGGTCATTGTATTATGTTAAATCTTTAAATCATTGTATTATCATTGGACCTTGACATGTGTGTAAGTTTTTCGTAAATGTAAATTAATCGGACGTTTTAAGGTTAGTGAAAATTACTACAAATACTAAATTAATAAAAGTGGCTACAGGTGAAAGTAATGAAAAACTGTAAACAAATATCTGATTGTGTGCCTATAAATATGAAGATAGATAACACGTTTTTAATTAAATCATAAACAAGTATCTATAGTTAGGAAGTATTCGCTCAACTTTAAAAGTTAACCTTTGATTACCCGAGTCGTAGAACTGGTTGATGTATAAAAACAATAACTACTAATAATAAAAAACGAGATAATAGCAATCCGCAATGCACGAAAACATAAATTAAACATACAGCAGCCACATCAAATTTCAAATTGGTATTAAAACGATTCGCATCTAAATGTATGATTGTAGTGTGACCATCACAATTACGCATTTGGAGATTTGTTTTTTTTTTTGTTGAAGATTGCTAACAACATGTTCATGTTACGAGGCTCCAAATCAAGCTAGACTCTTAATAAAATTTCCATTTGAATTTGCTAAAAAACTAATGCTAATTATTGTTGTCGAAACTTGCATATTGTAAATTAAGCAGACTATTAGGTGTTTATTAATAAAAGATAATGATGTCATTTTTAGATCAGAGGTATTCTAGGTCTGGTTATTAAGTAGTACAATTTACAATTGCACAAGAAGGGCCGCGGTACGCGAGAAATGGGGACATCTGATGAAGCGCACCACCACCCGAAGTGATGATCACGACCACTCTGCCCAGAGTCTGTAAATTATACTGACTAAGTTTAGATATTCCGGTTTATTATTATACCTAAATCCTTTCTTATTTTTTTTCCTACTTATTAATGGCATATTACAATTTACTATATTGTCTAAGACGTACGGCTTGGCAAAACTGCCATTATAACGTTGTCTTGGAAGTATTTAGGTAATCTGTAATAAAAAACAAAGGGTTTTAAATAATAACGGTCAATCGGGCCATTTCTCATTTGATACGAATTGCGACCACCTACTATGGTTCTCCGCCTTCCATCCGCAATATCATAACAGTATCATGATCTTGTTTTCTATCTGAACCCTTTTTTTAATTCCTAACCTGATTTTCCAATCTTATCTACCGATTTGTACCAATTGTGCCAACCCTAGGTACTAGTAAGGAAGAAGCGTTTTCATAGTCCATGATCACGGAAACTATGAAGTATTATTTGCATCTGAAATTGCTTAATAACTAAATATTTAACTTTATTCGCGAATAGACGACCTTATTGAATTTTAATGCCAACCGCTTTGGGGTATGACTAGGTGTTCTACCTAGCTTACTATTTTGACTGTCTACTAGTTTAACTTTATATTATTGAAGACGGGTATTGTCAAAATAGCTTTTGTTTCCTGTTCCATTTTTGATAAAACAAAAATAAGTGAGATTTTCTTTTTATAACTGCCGAGATTTAGCGACCCTAACCATGGCGCGATATTTGTGCGAGGCGACACATCTCCCCCGTGGCAATTTGTCGCGAGTTGCGGCAACCCGCCAGCCCTCCCTAAGGCCTCGTTTGCGACATTCCGCCTCAACGCTTCCCGCTGATTTATTCACCTCTCGACGACGCCAGCTCGATACAACTGACACATAAACGTCGCTTTTGTTTCTCTTTACCTCGAAATTTAGTGCTGCTGTGCGTCAGGAGGCGCGTGAGTCCTTTAGCCGAATTTAACATTTTAGGTTTTGGATTGATAGGAGGTAACAACAAGGTGATGTTGTTATTTTGTTTTTGTTTTTTTTTTGTAAGAAAGGAAATTGTGTACGCTGTCTCAAGTGTACAATTATCAAAATAAAGCACCTCAACTATGTTTATCACTACTTTGATTGGAAAATTTTCAATTATTTTAAGGATAACAAAAAGGTTTTTTTTTGTAATCAACTAATCTAGGTTATAGGTAGGTATAATAGATAGGTATAATCTGTGATGAATTTTATCGGAGATATAAATTGTAAAGTCGTCCCTGTCTGGGGAATATTTCTGCCAGCCGCGAATACTACCGCTAACATTAGAAGAGGATGTGCTGTTTTTAAAATCACAGATTCGCGCATAGAAAAACTGATCAAATTTATTTGTATTTAGTTTTTCTTTTCTCTAAGCACCGGTCATTTTTGTGCATACTGTGACATTGGCAAAATCAGTGCCTAAGGTGTTGGAGCCAATACTTTTAATAAAAAAAAGAAGAGGATGAAATATTAGTTATGTATCCGCCACTGTTTTTATCGCCTCGTTTATCTATGACTTTAATTTTTGCATAATGCTGGATTCCCGGTCACAGTCTTGACTGTGATTGGTAGCATGTAAGAGAGACACGTAATACATTGAGTTATATTAATTTTTGTTCGAATTAGTAACGTTTGCGAAATGAATATACTAAAATAAAATTTGCAATTTAAGTAAGTCATGAAAAAAAGAAGAATAAAATAGTTTTGGCGATAAGCCCAACTGTTGTGCGTTTTCCTGTGTAATGCATGTAGGTACTAATTATTTTAAACAATAAAATATGTCTAATACAGATATTCTTTGATATTTTTTTATTACCCACCTGGTTTTAAGTGGTAACTGGATCACATAGTAATCAAAAAACGTAAATGTCGCCACCCTTCTTGAGACTTGACTTCTAAGTCTTAGTTCTGTAGTGCAAAGGCGGCCTCACCATTCAAACCGTAACGCATTGCTGCTTTACAGCAGAAATAGGCAGTGTGGTGGAGCCCGGGCTGCTGACGAGACGTCCTTCCTCCAGTAAAATATTTAGTATACTGTAATGCTATGGCATTTATGATGATAGGCCAACCACCTGAATTAGTACCTCCAATAAAAACGGATACAAAGACAATGAGGTGATATCTCGACGTGGAGATATTTGTTTTTTTAGGATTGAAGGATTACTGGTGGCCCGGGGGCCTGTCCAGTTTCACCAGGACAGGTAGGCGAGCAAAGGCTCAGCAAGGAGGGGTATCATTTGCTAATAGCTGCCCGAGCGCCTCCGAAGGAGACCTAACAACTCAGGTGATATTTGTATCAGCTCCTAGTGGCCTAATATTATTAAGAGGGCAAACAGTTATGACAAATGAGGAGGAAGTTGGATATAGGTATGTAACGCGTTCGGAATAGGAGAGCCGACCCCCATAGAATTATGTATATCAGGTATGGAGAAATAAATGCTTCGTTTCCCATCAGGCGTGCAGGAAGAATATTTTTATGTGAAAGAGCTTACGTCCCACCAGATATTAAATGGTTCCTGGAGCCAATAGACATCACGACGTAATGACGACACCCAGTTTGAAGCTGGTTCGTGGTAGAGATAGGCAAGATGGTGGTATCTACCTATGCGGTCTTACAATTCGCCTTACCAATGCCAGATGGAGTTCGCAGTACGCAGGTACGGCGTATGGCTACTATTGATAGATGTTACCCTACTGCTCTCCGGGTTGACATCACACTGCCACATCATATACACGAACATTTACAAATAAAAACGTGCTACAAAAAGTTTCGTTTATAATTAGTTCTTTGACTTTTTAGTTTATAATTAGTTCTTAGAGCTCGATAAGATATAAAGTTCGTCGTTAGTTGAACTTAATGAATGTGACAAAGAGAATTCATGATAACGAAGTACCGATAAAGGAGTTCTAACAAGTTCACTTGATGTATTTGTGTCAGTTTCGTTTATTATACAACATATACAATGTCGTTTTTACTTACATATACAATGTCGTTTTTACTTAACATCTCACAAGTAAATGCTCTTAGTGACGAACGTTTTGAGTATGTGTTTAGAAACGTAATTGAATTATATCCCGCAGCTGCGGTAGAAGTAGGGAAGAAACGACCATTTAATAATTCAACAGAATTATGTGCTGCTTTTGACAATTATTTGGAAGAGCTGAGTACGGCAGGTCAGTGTGGAATTCATGAACTAAGTAATACCTATGTTATGTTCAATTATTTCAAACTTATACAGTGAATAGTTTGATGGTAAAATGTTCTATTGGTAGGTAATCTTTTTATGTGAAATATATTATCTCGACGCTATGTTTAAAAGTAATGCCTTCTAAATATTATTATTCAATTGGCTCTTACCACGATTTTCCACTGGGAACTCATTAAATGTGAACATCGTAGGTACGTATAAAATATAACAATGTATAGAAGGTAACTGGACTTGAAAGTTTTAAACAATTCGTATTCAACACTGCTGTTGTGTCATTTTGATTATTAATTTCTGGATTAATGTTTTTTTTTTATCACAGTAGCCAGACTAGTAGATATAATTTTATTATCTCGAAATGTGGTTTTTGCAACGTGTTGTTAAGAAATGAAATGCAAAAACAAAATGTTCGACAATTATTTGTACATGCTTACAGAAAAGAACAAGGTATTCAAATTTCATCCAGATTTAGCCGGAAAGATTTCACAAATGGGAGAGTTAACGCCAGAATCTACAAAAGAGCAGAATTCTGCTGGTTTAAATCAATTGAATTCAGAACAGAAAAGTTTGATAAACCATTATAATGAAAGGTACCTATTTACACAAATTATTGTGTGTGTGTGTGTGTGTGTGTTGTGTCTTAAGCACCCAATCGTTTGTCTTCTTTGTCGTGGTGAGAGCGCCTGTAAGATAAACTGGGTGAACTGGGTGAAGGGACTTTTTATTTATAAAATTTTTTATTGCTTAGATGGATAGCTCACAGCCCACCCACCTGGTGTTAAGGGGTTACTGGAACACATAAGACGGTAAAAGAAGAAGGTAAATGCGCCATCCACCTTGAGATATAAGTTCTAAGGTCTCAGTATAGTTACAACGGCTGCCCCACCCTTCAAACCGAAACGCATTACTGCTTCACGGCAGAAATAGGCAGGGTGGTGGTACCTAACCTTGCGGACTCACAAGAGGTCCTACCACCAGTAATTACGCAAATTATAATTTAGCGGGTTTGATTTTTATTATACGATGTTATTCCTTCACCGTGGAAGTCAATCGTTAACATTTGTTAAGTACGTATTTCATTAGAAAAATTGGTATCCGGCTGCGGGATTCCAACACCGTTGCATCGCTTGATACGAATGCACCGAACGTCTTATCCTTAAGGCCACGACTTCAAAATTGAATTGCCCAGCGTCTGGGTTAAGTTGGGGCAATATCATTTGACTACGCTTCTAAATGACTACAAGACAGGCAGTGGCTTGGCTGTGCCCCTGGTATTGCTGATTTCCATAAGCGACGGTGATTACTTTCGTTTACGAACAAAAGTAATAAGAAAATCAACAAGGAGGGCAGTTCAATGGAACAAGTTCCTAATTTTTAAAAGGTGACTGGGGTTTCTGTCACTATTCGGATTTAATTTCTGCTAGAGTCCCTATATGTAGTATATAGTAAAGTACTTTATATATAGATTTTATGGTAGTGGAGGCTCATGATATTATCACTCCACGTGTTGGGGCTGGGGTTAATTATTAAGCGGAAAGTCAAATCCATCACCAAATTTATGCCCACGTGTCCGATCGCCGAAGAGACACGAGTCTGTGGTAGACTGTGGTGTGGTGTCACTGTGGTAGAAGGTATGGCAGATACTTCAACCTTATGTAAAAGGTGTACTCCAATGCAGTTGATATCCTGCTTTTATTTAATCACAAAAAGCTTCATGGAATCATTAGGTTTTTGTTGGCGCTCGACAGACAAACAAAAAGGGACCAACAAGTAAATTAAATATTAAATTTAACCCTAAAGTGCCTACGTTAATGGTATTATGCCAGAAATCTAGAAATGCTAAGTACTTTTTTGGGGACAGAGGGGGATTTCTGGTGGCAAGGAGGCTTTTGAGTTCGGGTCGATATACGCATGCACACACAACTCGAGAAGGAGAGAGCGAGAGAGAGGAGAGAGAGAAGGAGAGAGGAGAGAGAGAGAGAGAGAGAGAGAGAGGAGAGAGCGAGAGAGAGAGAGGAGAGAGCGAGAGAGAGAGAGGAGAGAGCGAGAGACTTTTCACTGGTGGTAGGACCTCTTGTGAGTCCGCACGGGTAGGTACCACCGCCCTGCCTATTTCTGCCGTGAAGCAGTAATGCGTTTCGGTTTGAAGGGTGGGGTAGCCGCTGTGACTGTACTGAGACCTTAGAACTTATGTCTCAGGATGGGTGGCGCATTTACGTTGTGGATGTCTATGGGCTCCAGTAACCACTTAACACCAGGTGGGCTGTGAGCTCGTCCACCCATCTAAGCAATAAAAAAAAAAAAAAAAAAAGAGAGAGAGACACATGGAGGAGAGGAGAGGAAGCATAACGCTGACAATCTCCACTACTAAACCTCAAGCCGCATTAAGGATTCGTTCCAAGACGGATAATCTTCAGCACCATTGAATTTTTTTTCTTTTATTCCCTTGTAGGCAGACAAGCATACGGCCCACCTGATGGCGAATTGTTACCGTCGCCCATGGACTTCAGCAATGCCAAAAAATATTGTTACATTATTATGATGTATGTATGTAATTAAAAATCACGTCCAACCATGATCATACCTGTGCTCGATACCATACATAGTAATACACATAATATTTAACTCGATACTGTCAAAGCAAACTTCTAATACGAGCTATTTGTACTAGTGACATCTGTAGACTTCCATAAGCATTTAAAATACGTGTAGAGCCCTACTTAAACATATTTTACAAAAATGTTAATAGATGGCGCTTTATACTATTTTATCACGGAAAGCGGGCCGGTATATACGATAATAATTACCTATCAGTTTTATAAAGTTGAACGTTTTATATTATATTTTGTAAGGGATCATTAAATTTATATTAATGTAAATTCATGTTATATCAGATCATAATAATTACACATTAGGGTATTGTGCAGTTTATGTACTGGAGGTGGAGGTGGTGGAGCTTTAGTGTCTGTTTATTGTCACCACTAAGTTATGTCTGTTTGAAGTCGTCGTGGCCTAAAGGATAAGACGTCCGGTGCATCCGTATATAGCGATGCAACGGTGTTCGAATCCCACAGGCGGGTACCAATTTTTCTAATGAAATACGTACTTAACAATTGTTCACGATTGACTTCCACGGTGAAGGAATAACATCGTGTAATAAAAAATCAAACCCGCAAAATTATAATTTGCGTAATTACTGGTGGTAGGACCTCTTGTGAGTCCACACGGGTAGGTACCGCCGCCCCGCCTATTTCTGCCGTGAAGCAGTAATGCGTTTCGGTTTGATGGGTGGGGCAGCCGTTGTAACTATACTGAGACCTTAGAACTTATATCTCAAGGTGTGTGGCGCATTTACGTTGTAGATGTCTATGGGTTCCAGTAACCACTTAACACCAGGTGGGCTGTGAGCTCGTCCACACATCTAGGCAATAAAAAAAAAATAAAAAAAAATGTAATTATATAAATTTAAGAACGGCACTCGTTCGTGTTCAATGTATTAATTATTATTTTGCAGTTACAAAGAAAAATTTGGATTTCCATTCATTGTATGTGCAAGGGAGAATAAAGTAGCATCAATATTAGAAGGCCTGCAAATCCGATTGAAAAACTCGTCTTTCCAGGAATATCAAACTGCATTAAACGAAGTGAAAAAGATATGCAAATATAGAATCTATGACATTGTTGCCGAAAATTAACCTTTCTCATGCATTGTAATGAACCAAAATTTTAAATAATAATAAAATTTCATTGTGTACCTATGATTTCTTCATTAATACATTTAACAAGTTATAACATAATAATATATAAATTGAATGATAGGTCAGAGGATCCTTCCCGCTACGTATCTGCGTGGTAACGACTATGCCTATTCACCATCAGACGCGATGTGGGATCATTCATATAGTCTACCTAGTGGCAATGAAAAAATTTATTAAAATATACAAATAACACTGAATATAATTAGCCCGATAGATGTAACACTACAATATAATTTTTATGCCACATAGAACAAATGGTAACCATTATTTTTATTTCAAATACCTTTTAATATGAATTGCAAATTTTATACTACTTGCATTAAATAGTATTTTACGGATACACATTTTAAATGGATTTCAGAGATTATACATCCCATTATATTAAAAACATTTTATTTTATTATTTATTACAAATAAGATTTACAAGAAGTGCAAAGTTAAAGAAGTCCAAGTGATCTCTCTATGACAGCGTGTGGCTGACCGGCAGTTTCACATAGATCACGTGTGTTGAGAATGTCTTCAAAACCAATATCGATGTATCTGCCAGTTAAAACGTCATGTTGGAGATTAGAACTGGGCAGAAAGGGTAGACGTCCAACCTGCAATAGACAATTTCTTAAAAACATATTTATGGCAGCTTCATTTTCTGTAATTTTATCAATTCTTCTGTTTCTGATTTTATATAAATTCAGTTTTTAAGCCGTGGACTAATTTTTTGCAGTTAATGTAGATCATCAGTGCTAGGCTACCAAGCACTGTTAATTAAGAAGTATCCATAAGTTAATTAGAATCTTATAATTAGCTTATGTCAGTGCTGCTCAGAAAGCATTGTGGGGTGAAGCTATTATGTATAAAAGTATATGAAGGTACTACAGTACATATGATGCCACATCTCTGTTGCATTGAATAAAAACAAATTCTTTTAGTGATAATGTCAGATTGCTCTATTTGTCACTCTGCTCACTCTATGGTTAGTACTGGTTAGTTAGCGAGGAATTAGGGTGAGCGAGGCAGGAAAATATGGTAGCAATGATGGTGGCCCAACTGAATAAATAGCTGGGGTTGAACATTAATATCAATTATCATACAAGAACCACTGGTATCTCAAATCATATCATAAAAAATATAAATATATGATGATGCCGTTAAGTAATATGTACATGACATTTAAGTAATTATTTTTTGTGAGTTATAAGTACATCCATACATTTGGTTCAATAGAAAAGTCCTGAAAGTTAAAATTTTATTTTGCATTTGAATGTAGTATACATTAATTTGAACAGTGATTTAATTTTTTATTCGCATTTGATGGGTGAAAGAGCTTACATATATTAAATGATTAGCAAACACCATAACATTATTATCACTACATAGACCTGAGGTTAAAATCTTATTTTGTATTGAACAATGTCTATTCCACTCTTCAAATCAGTTTTTTATGCTTGAAGAATTACCTTACCTACCTAATTAGGCATTTGGGCCATCCCCAGAGGCCTTTCCAGTTTCACCAGGACAGGTTGGCGAGCAAAGGCTTATCCAAGAAGGGTGGAATTGGCTAACAGCTGCCTGAGCGCCTCCAAAGAAGACCTAACAACTCAAGAGCAGCTGCTTTCCAAATGAATCTACTACCTGATCGGTATCGCAATGTCTAATTCTTTGCCAAAGCGAGTATGGTTACCGGGGTCCCTAAGCCTGTTCGTAGTGTCAGAGCTGAAGATGTATAATGCAAGAGTTATTGGATCTGATGCATCCATAAGGATCTGTCTAGGTTTGAAATTAGAAAGTAAGACTACTTTGCAGCAGAAACAGTCAGGATCATGGCATCTTCCCTTGCTGCCACACTACATGTTAGCACCAGTAAGTTATATTTTAAATAGCTTCCTCAGTATTCATACCTTACTCGCAAACTTCCTCTCCATTGTAATTTTCATTGGCGCATGTAGACCTTGGACATTGCGCAGCATCGCTAGATTCAGTTTCTCTTCATTTAAATGGTACTGAAATACAAATATGTTTCTCAAATTTAGTCTTATTTACATTCACGGTGTAATTTTTCCTGATCTGCCTAAAAGCCAGAAGGGAAATAATATTCTAAGTAACCTAGCATAAATGGGGAGGAATATTCATTTCTGAGTTAATCAAGCACTGGTCCTTTCGTATATTTAATTTGTATTTAAGTTGGCCAGCAGATACTCAGTGTGCGAACTTACACACATAATTGCTCAGATTGCAAGTGTGAGTGAACAGCGCGAGGTGCACTGCTGGAGATTCTTGCTCCGATCGTCTGCAGAAATCACAACACTTAAACATGCATACGCTTGTTACTACCGTTGAAGTTCTTGTCAATGTTTAATGTATACAACTTATAGATTTTTCTGTGCCTAGACTTTCTTTTGCCTTTTGCTTCGCAACTATCTACTTGTGCTCGTGTTTGTTGCTCTGCACCATCTGAGCATTTGTAAAAGTAGTTATATAGTAAATTGTTGTGTGTGAAATTAGTTATAGTTATTACGGTAATGCGTGAAATCTGATACCCAAAGCCTTTGTCACCTTAACAACTAAAACAGAAGACCCCATACTCAGTGAGTCATGAATAAGGCCTGTAGAATCAACTTTGTATGAAATGTTTGAGTATGTTAATTTTTATCTTTTTTTTTTCAAATAAAAAACTGTTTGAGATTGTACTTTAGAATATTCTGCAATATAGAAGTTATGCCAATATCTGTTTTAAATTGCTGTACTAGTTGAAAAATCAATAGACAGAAGCCTGTAATGGAAAAACGTAAATTGGAATAGAAACATATAGCATAGATACATTTTTACATAACATACATAAATATATAACATACATTTTTCTCGGATGCTTCTAGTGGATGTACAAAACCTAGTTTAGGTCTTGTGGCACCTAAACCGGCAATCATGGGGTCAGGGATACCAAAAGTATTTTCTTGAATCTTGACACCATTGTCATCATGTTCTGGCTTTACTTTAAGGGGTGGTAGTCCGAAACTCTGAAAATTTGGCATATATCATTATTATAACTGCAAAAACATAGTGATTGGTCCAAAACAAAGCAAAATATTAGGGATGGTATTAGAACTAGAAGGAATTGGAATTAGAAGAATAATATTTTAATATTAGTGTCTCTTAAAAGGTATTGAATTTTCTTAGCTTTGGATTTTATTTAAGTCATTGTATTAAAACAACACAAATTTCATGAACTTCTAATAACGATATCCCATGTAAGTAAAATAGTTCACAAAATGTCTGAAACTTGTTGTTCCAAGTAAATGAAAAATTAAGTAGTACATTAACGTTTAATCGCGTTTTTAATTTGTTGTTTTTTTAATTTGTTCGAGTCATTCGAACAAACTTAAGAATTAACAAGAAAAAGGACCAGCAAATTCGTCTTTGGAAAAAATACTACTTACCATTGTGTAAATATAGTTAACAGTTAATTAGGGATAAATAGTTTATATTTGGATCGATATGTTAATCAAAATACAAATAAATTCAATTTATACTCTTTCTGAAACTGTACGGTGCCTAAATCTTTGAATCTATCGTTGGTTCGGCAACTGTCAATCTACCCGTTGTCAAAATTTGTCTAATCATTTTAAGAGATGACAGGCAACTAAAAGTTTTCGATCAGTACCTATGTAAATTATCGACTATTTCATTTGCAGTTTTTCCATTGATTCATTCATCGGATAGACAAACGTGACCGAAACAACCAATTTTTTTATGGCTGCGGCTGAAGTTATAAAATTTCATTTATTGGCAGTAATCTTTGCGAAAAAAATAATGTCTAAATATTATTAGTGGTTAGATGACAGCAGTAAAGCCTTGTTCAGACTAGGTGATTATTTTAGTCGAGCGAGTAATTTAGTGGCTAAACTACTCGCTACTGCACAGAAATCGTTCGCATTACGGTCCAGTAGAGTACACAAGTGAGTGGTGTTTTGCAAGATGAACAGGCTGCAACGCAATAGAGTGAATAAACTGATTAAGCTAATCGTAATGGCATTTAGAAGAGGTGGATGAGGAAATTTCTTTGATTAAGAAAAAAAAGTTATAACAATAACTTTTTCTAGAAGAGATAAACTAGGAGCTATTAAATGTCTTCTGAAGGAATTAGCATTAGAAGAGATACCAAAGAATACTTCGATAGTTTGAGATTGTCCGAAAGTTGTGTGAATTTTCTGTTAACGAAAATACACTCCGAAATTCAGCGCAAAGATACTCATTTGAGAAGTGCCACTAATGAACTCGACTAATCAACAGGTTCGGACTTGTTTAGTCAGTGAGCTAGTGAGCAAGGTCGCGTGGTGGGAGGCGCTACTCGCACGAAAAAATAGAACAGAATGGATTGACTTGACTAAATTATTTACTAACTTATTCGACTAAATTTTTGGTGTTCAGACACATTTAGCTACTAAATAACTCGGTACTCGATTAAAATACTCGCCTAGTCCGAAGAAGGCTTTACAGCGTGAATATCACCACATCCATTACCTTCAAAATCTTTAAACATAAAGTACCTACCATAATTTGATGTGAATTATCGAAAAAGCATTTTTATAAAAACGGATTTCAAGTTTCTACCACAGAGCATTTTTATTTTATTCTCTTGCATTGGCAAACGGATTTGCGCGCATAACGCCCGAACTGTATTCTTGTTTAATATCAATAGAAATTAAGTGAAAATATCATTGGATGAGCTCGAGATGTAGATTTAACACGTAGTGACTGTATGATATGTGAATGCACAGAAATGCTCTTTAGACTTGTTTTCTTTTGTGAAAAGTGCTTTGTTTTTTAGTGCTGTCCTGTCTTGTGTTTCCACGAACATGAAAAGCCATGTTGTGCGAAATACTTTGGTATTCCTATTTAATTAGAACTTCAAGCCTTTTTTACTGAGAATAATGAAAGAAGATCACAGAACAACTAATAGAGTCCAACGGTAGGCAGCAGGTTGGCTCTGCTCCTGGCATTACTGACGTCCGTGAGTGACGGTAACCACTCACCATCAGGTGGGCCGTATGCTCGCCTGCCTACAAGGGCAATAAAAAATAATAATAGTCAAAAAACGTTGAATTACTGGCGTTGATATGCACATGACCTTTCACAAGTACCTATGTTTTATAATGAACAATATTTAATTTTATAAAATGAACATTTGTTCAATTCTAATAAAGTAAATTATCTCTTATAAATGTGTCTTATAAAGTAAATTAATAATAACTACGTTTGACACTACTTTTATTCTAGTAGCCTCTACTTCTTGAATTTGTAGTGAAAACTTGTTGAAGCAGAACTAAAAAAAAGGTTTAAATATTACTAGAGCTTCACAACAAAATCTGTCATTTTTGTGGTTATGTAAGCATTTGGTGTTAATAAAATATGTAAATATGTATGTAGGTAATGGTTATTAATATATGTATTTCATATATTGAGTTTGAATCAATTTAATCATTTTACTTCAGATTAAATTTCTTTTCATAAATCGACACAAAAATAAACGTTCACTATGACCGGGCGTGGTGGTGGAGCCAAAAAAGAACTGGTATGAATCGATCTCTTGTTATTCTTCGAAATATGTTCAACATTCGATATTATGACATAAAATTAGTTAGCTTAAACTTTGATTTACTCTTTTAAAGCCTCGCTTAGAGAATGCGTTCGGCAAATTCCGGGCTTAATCCTGATTTTACCTGAAAAAAAAAACATCATCGTACTATGTATGAACGTAATTATGTAGTGTATCTTGTTGTTTAGCTACAGTTTTTACAAGTAAGTGTGACTTAAAATTACGAGTTGATTTGACGTACCTATTTAAAATTTTAGGATCCTGAGCAACTAATGAAAAAAAAGTTTCGCGCAAAATGTCTTTTTCGCGCTCTTGGACGTTTAGTGATGGCAAACGCTCACTGGTTGATTGAAGACTCAGAAAATTATGAAGGCTTAGAAAATGTAAAGCGAAGAGTCCAACAAGCCATGCGTGGGAAGCCAAAGAAAAAACAATTGTTGTCGATTAATGTTAGACTTGTATATAAATAATATATATAATATTTTTGTTTCCTACCTATTCTAGTGACCTCGAGGGTTCATACTAGATTCACCGAACGAGTGACTGGTGAGCTCACGGGGCTCTAACCTGGTGACGTTGCTAACACTAGCCCTAGCAAGAGCAGTGCTTCATAGATAATTATCATAAAATTTCTAGAGCCTTTTTTTCCTACCTATGCAGATAGCCTTGAGAGGCTATTTCAGCTTCTCGTTGACGTGTAGGTGAGCTCACAGGGCTCAAACCGGAAGTGTTGCTAACACTGGCCCTAGCAAGATCAGTGCTTCGCAGAATCTGCCACCGGATCGGAAACGCAACCCACTGAGAATATCCGGCGAGAAACTCAGTGGGCTGTGTCTATGGGTTAATTCAATCGTCGAGCCCTTCGTCGTTAGCGACGTGACGGGTTCGACGTGGTCGGTGACCGGAACGAGGATGGTGACCGGATTACAGCCAATGAAGATAGTGAGATCTTAGAACGAACGTTAAACTACGTCTTTCGCACAACTATCGTCACATCTTCGCGTTCAGATTACAATCATTCGAATGTATACATTTTTTCGTGGGCTATGTCTGTCTGGCTCACAATAGTGACGAGATTAGATTACCTCGAGACTTATAAACTCGCCTTTTTTCTAGGATAAAGCGTTGTTAAACAAACCCGCCAACGAACGAACAGAGCAGGAGAAAAAATACATATATCGAATAATTGGCGGCTTGAAATGTTTTAAGCGTTATCCTAATGTAAGAAAGAAAAATCAATTAGTTGTATGTTGAAGTTTTTTACATTTAGGCTGGTCTTTGAATTTTCTAACTGAAGTAAAAATATGATGTTCTCTTGAGATTAATTTATTTAGTACACAAATGAGACAAGTTAGAGTATTAAAATTAAATAATTCTTTCAAAAACTCATTATCTACTTAAAAAAAGAAATGACGTTCATTTTTATTAAACCAAACAGCACGTAAAGAAGAAATTAGCGGCAGTGACGTACTTCAAATACTACGGCCCGTGTCGGACTATCGTACGTCAGCACCAAGATGCCCACGCCTTGTACTTTATCGTTAGCGGTGAAGTCACCGTAACTCAGATGGTATTCGACGAGCTTCTACAACAGTATGTGTCGATCGAAATAGGGGTAATGCAATCGGGCGATTTGTTCGGTGAAGTGTCCTTACTTCACGGTATACCAAGAACGGCGACCGTTACTACTGTCGGTTAGACGTTGTTTTAATTTTCGAATATGTTCATTTTAAAACCAGACATCAGTGTACGTTAAGTATTGCGTTCATGATTTCCTTAATGAAGGAACAATATTAGCTACAAAAATGAAATCTGCAGAACTTAATTTTGCCTCATTACTGGCGCTAGGACTTACATTACTTTGGGTTCCACATTACTTTGGGTACCACTGTCCATATTTTTTTATCTTTACGAAACTTTCATGAGTTTCGGTTTACAGAAATTACAGTGCGTACACATAATTAACACTTTGATCTTTTGTAATAAAATTATTAATAATAATGATTAAATTGAATTTGATTAATATTTTAAAAGGAAATAGTGAGTCATGTATTTATTTTAAATAACAAAACACCCGGTTGTCAAAGTTTTGTTTGGTATGAAATATCAACAGTCAAGGTCAGTAACGTACCTAGCTATCGATAAAACGTTGTATAGCAACCATAAGATCTACTCTTTGTACGATATTCTTCTCTAAATTTTCGCTAGGTCACTGTGAACTGTTGGCATTAATGAAAGAAGATTTTAAGAATGTATTGCAAGCTTCCGTGCAAAAACAGTGGGACGAAGTCAAACGTGCAATGTCTGCGTTTACTTATTTTGATGGCCTCGATGAGGTAACATGCGGCTATCTGTTTAAAGAGCTGTTGTTTTCCGTTTAATTTTAACGTTTCTATTTAGATGTGTTTGATTTTTTTATCTCCAAAAGAGATCATACTATCATATTAATATCGTTATTGGTAGGTAATGTATATTTTATGATTGTTCTAGTCCATGATTCTTTGAAATAACAAAAAAGAAACAACATATTTTAGTGCGCATAAGAATGTTTTAGACAGCATTGAGCCATTGAAGATCAATGTCTCTGTTCAGTCCAGCATTTCGGTTACAAAACGATTGGAAATTACATTACCGTTTATAATGGTTGTTATCAGAATCTTTTCGAGATTGTAATGTAAATCAAGCAAAATTTTTATTCCAACGTTAAGCTCAGATCAGAGGAGAGTTCATTCCGAGGCTTGTATAATATTTACTAATTAACGGTGGTCAAAATTTTCACCGCAAGTTCAGTTGTTCATAGATTAATTGATCTTTATATAAATACATCATGTTTTATACTAGCACACATTTTTAACTTAATCACGGTATCACTTAAAACATGCCTAAATAAAAAAATGAACAAAAGAGTTTTATTCTTATTCATATCTCATTTAGGTAGCGTATAAAATCGTTTCTATAATTTATCATTTTGCCTTTAAAGGTCGCCCGTCGCGAAGGTTGTATTGTGGCAAAGATGAAATCCTACGAACAGAACGAGACTTTACTTGGAGACGGCGTGGGTGTCGCCAATTTTGTATATTTCGTTCTATCCGGCCGGTGTCAGATGATCGAATCCATCCAAGTGGTCGTGACTACGCGTCTTGGACGTGATTTTTACAGTCTTTATGATCCATATGTATGTATCAGTTTATGGGGTAAGCCGTTTAAACTTCTGATACACACGCTATGGGGGTGTCAGCCAAATACTTGACAAAAACTAAAAACTCCGAAATAATTTTCAGAGGCATTTATTATATAGTACAAAAAAAATCATCAAATGTCATTAACGCATTTGAAATAAATTTATTTTGCTTGAAAATGTATATTAAGTTTTATGAAACTTTTGTTTGAAATATTTTATTATTGAAGGAGTACATACGCACATAATATCCATTAACGGTGCTTTTAGGTACAGGTAAGCAACGGTCACCGTCTTCGTCGAACCCGTCGCTTGCGACGAAGGGCTCGACGAGTGAAATAACCCATAGACACAGTCCATTGAGTTTCTCGCCAGATCTTCCACGAACATTTGAAAATTATGTAAGTACATATGTAGTGAAAACTAAATAATAATGATAAAAGTTTTGCGTAGGCACTTCATACAATGTTAAAGTAAAAGGTTAAAATAATTTAAGTTGCCGCGAATTACATAATATACTTTTTTAATATAATTGATATCTAAACCAAAATATACAGATACTGTACTAAGTTCAATATCACAAAATATTCATAACCCATCGATTGTATTAGTTAAAATATTATTTGACTTTTTAAATTATTGTATTCATTTATAAGATACCGCCAGACGAGAGCGAACAAGATTTGGACACAAAGTATTTTGGAGCCTACAATAACCGCAGAGAAAGTCGTGATTCGGTGGAGTCAACGAGTCAAAGAAAAAGCATAGAACGGAAAAGGACAGAGAGTATACTAAAAAATTCCAGTTTGTCGAAGCAAAGCAAACATTCGGAGGGTAATAAAGGGGAGAGCGTTCAGATCTCTGTCGATGCTCCCGAAATCATAGAGCTGAGTGCATCCACCGCCGCCGTACCGTCTACACAAGAAAATCGAATTTTATTGGATCCTACTGAACAAGGTCGTAATTCTCACAGGTGATTTTTTGATTTTTTTTCTTAGTCCAATTAATTTTTATTCAAAAAGAAGTCCGGTTTGGGTTTGGTTCATAGAAACTTATTTTTCTCCCTGTTTCCTGCCTCCATACTGAAACAACATTAATATTTTTTTTACATAACACAACATTAGTTTATACACCGCGACTCTATGTTTTGAATTATTAGTGATACAAAAGATAAATATTAAGGAAATAAGTCGTCGTCGATTCAAGTCGTGTTGGATTAAAGGCTAAGACGCTCTGTATATTCAAGCGTTTAAGGGATGTGACTATGCAGATGTTCAAAACCCGCCGGCAGGTATCATTTATTCTAAGGGAAATACGTTGGTACTTAGCATGTGCTTGAGATTGACGAATTCCACGGAGAAGGAACAATAGTGTGTACTAAATGATTTTGGAAATCTAATATGCGTAGGTATCGCCGTGTAGTGTCGTGCGTTGCATCACCCATGTAATTAAGAAATTATGAAAATTGCACTTTTTCAAACGCCTTTTATCAAAAAATAAAGCAAAAACAATACACATGTATGTATAGTGAGAGCCATAGTCTTACTTAAATAAAATTCACCGAAATTATTGACTTTTGTTCTGCATTTTAGTCAAAGTTATTCCATTTGTACTCTATTCGGGATAGCTTGAAAGAATACAGAAATATGATCCAAAAAACTTCTTCTGATTCTTCAAAATGTTCGGCACTCGCAATGCTTTTAACGCTATATTGAAAAAGTTGGTAGTATTTATGTATATTCAAAATAAAATGTAATGATTATAGAATGAGTGTAATTCCGGAAGCGATCGTGGAGCCATTGCCGCAAAATCTTCGAACATATTTCATGCAGGTTTGGTTGATTTAAATTTTGGTTTTAATTGTATAAATTCAGTCAGAATTAATACCGTAAAGTATTGACTTAAAGACTTAAATTAGAATTTTTCATTTAAATATTTTAATCAAGGTCTGCATATTTAACCCTGGTTCAAGTTTCGGATTTGGTGAAAATATGCGTGATCGACGCATTGTAGCACTAACGCCAGTGGATTGTATGCTGCTACCCAAGATATGGCTCTTACAACGTAACACTGCCAATATATGGACAAGAATTCAGCATTATTTGGATAAAAAAGTAAGATGTCGATTCATTCAACTATTCACACAATTTGTAGTACAAAATCACACAACAGATATTTTGCTTAAGATCGATTTCAGTTTTTTTCCCTACCTAAGCTGATAGCCTTGAGAGGCTATTTCAGCGTAACCTTAAGTAGTAGGTGATTTCATGGGGTTCAAACCGGAGTTATGCTATCACTGACCCTAGCAAGACCAGTGCTTCGCACAATCTACCACCGGATCGGAAACGCGACCCACTGAGAAGATCCGGCGAGAAACTCAGTGGGCTGTGTCTATGTGTTAATTCGCTCGTCGAGCCCTTCGTCGTAAGCGACGGGTTCGACGAGGACAGTAACCGGTGCTTGTGGTACCTAAAAGTACCGTTAATGGATCGGGAGGATCCGTAATGACGTGTTTTGGGCGACGTCGACTGTTTGCCATTCGGTCTACACGATCGGGTATGAGATTACAGTAATTTTTCTCCAATATACATAACGTATCGTCCTAGAATCTAGACTTGTAGCTAATAAATATAGTGTAACTTAGGTATACCCATAGTTAATATATTTAATACAAAAGGTAATAATAATCTAGAAGCTTCAAATGTCAACAGTCTAGGCTTTCTCAATTTAAAAAAGAAACTTATTCATTTTATTTTAGATACCTACGAAGAAGGATCTCTTCAAGCAGTTCGTGGAAGACCGTCGTTGGCAAGAATTTCGGGATCAGATGGTGGATGATGTCGTCAGTCGATCAAATACAGTGAACTGGACCTCGGTTCATGATGTCCCATATTCTATTCGCATGGAAGAGATGCTCGATATTTAATACTTTTAAAATAAATGATTGATAGTTTAGTTAAACACGTTTTTTTTTATTATACCATTTCCGCACTCGTTGACCGAAATTATTGGTCGAAAATAAGTCCATATTAGGTAGATTCTACTTATCTACGAATATAACATAGCATGCTATATAACGTATCTTCACTGGAAACGTGGAGGCGGAGGCCACAAATGAGGCTAGAAATCCAAGTAGGTCCATAGTGTGTAGGCGGTAAAAAGCTTTCATATAAAAAGTATATGTTGAATCTTTTTTTTTATTGCCCTTGTAGGCAGACGAGCATATTGCGCACCTGATGGTGTGTGGCTACCGTCGCCTATGGACTTTAGCAATGCCGTGGGGCAGAGCTAAACCGCTGCCTACTGTTAAGTACTCTCCACAAACTCAATTTGAAGAAGAACACGTCATACCGCTTGGGAAACACCGAGAATCTTAATCAATTATAGGGTAAAGTTATATATATATATATAACGAGAGATAAATGAAACAAAGTAATGTAAAATAAACTGAATACCTAAGTGTTTAACGTATTAACAAGCCAGAGAGTTAGTTACCTTGTTTACTTACACATTTGATTTTTATATTTTTACTGTTACGGTTTAATATTTATTTAACGTCTACGACTTAAGAAATAAGTAATTTTAGGCGATAGATAGGTTTGAACCAATTGTGAAATTAGTAAATTGGTAAAATACTAATATTAAATAAATTAATATCGTAAATAAATTTAATTAATATAATAATGATGATATAAAATTAGAACCAATTCGTAAATTGGCTTATCGGCTTCGGAAGGAGGGTCATCGTACCCCCTTGCGGGGGCACGGAACGCGCCTCGGGGAAACCCCTCTGCCCGGGCAATTGGCTTCGCGCCTATCGAGGCAGGGGTGATGAGCTGCTGGACTAAGTGAAGCAGGCTTGGAGTTGTGATGTTGGGTCGGATCGCTTTTTTCTTCTTTCTTCCTTCTCTTCAGCTCTTCTGTTCTTCCACTCTTCGGTCTCTTCTATCTTCTTCAGCAGGGGGCGGCCGCTTCTCTCCTCCATGCGTTTTTATTTTATTTTATTATATACAATTTTATCTTAAGCTAACTTAACCTAACTTAATCTAACTTACATCTAGGTGACGGCAGCGCGCCGTTTCTGCACTCCGTGGAGTTCCGGGACAGCGCGCGCCGTCACACCTAAGCCTACTAATCTAACTCAACCTAACTATAGGCTTCAAAATCAAATGCCATATTTCATGCCAAGACTATATTATTATATGCTTGGTTCCTAAGGATTGAAGTGTCAGGAGATTTTTTCCCAGTCCCTTTAAGTATAAACCACTATTTATAATATAATATAATAAATAAAATAATACAAATATTAAGTACACTTCAATGTCCCTTAGATTCGATTTGATTTAAAAAAAATAAACTTCACAATTTAAGCTAAATACTTTCAAAATATCACATAAAAATATTCGTGTAGTTTTATTTTCTGAAGCTCTGCGTGGAACTAAACGTCATGTTATTGTTGATTATGACGTCAGACCGTAGCCAAGACAACTCGAATTGGCGGGAAGCACCCACACTTCTCTACAACTCTACGATCAACGCGACAATTTATGTTAAAGCAGAGTAGCACTAGGCACCGGATGAGCAATATTTGAAAAGTGTATGTATAGTCTATACTATGTTATTATTCGACCGCAGTGCACCGCGACGACCGAACGCGCGAAAACCGACGACAGCCGTGTCGCTGTTTGATCCGCAATTATTTAACAAAATTTTATTTTAACTCCGAATAAATACACTGAAACTAGTTAAACTTGAATTTTCAATCGAAGAGCGAACAGCCTAATTTATTAACTAATAGTTTTATGAACGTGGATAGCTGTAGATAACAGGTGAGATTGTTTTGTCATTTGTTTACTTGTTGGAACCTTGAAATTATTTATGTCGATATTACTTATTTTTAATTCGTTAAGTGCGTAATAAAATATTTACTTCGAAGATCGGGAACACTCGCTTAAGTTTTTTGTGTACATATCTTTTTTTGTAAAATTACTTCTGGAGTTGATGATCATGGTTTGAATCGTGAAATTTTGTTCTTCGTTTTTGTTGATATTATAAGAGCTCTCGTGACTCAGTATCATACGTGCCTCTAAAACGAGCGTTCTTAGGCTGATTTTGATTTTATTTAATTTCAATTGAGCTCTTCTTTGAAATGATAACATTTCTTGAAATACCTATTGATTTACAAGAAATTCATTAATATGCAGTCACGTATTCAAAAAGAGAAAAATACCTATTTGAGAAGCAAAGAAAAACCATAGGAAGACTTTGAAGCTATTTTTAATACTTACACGGGTAAATTATTGAGTTTTTAAAATCGAATAAATCGAATCGATATTTTAAGAATGGTTCTTAGAGACAAGTTTGTATTTAATAACATGGTAATGTGATACAACCCAACTAGGTCACATACTCGTAACACATAGTATATTTCCTAGGATTAAGATCTTATGCAATATCTAGAATAGTGAAGTGTGGTGTTACATTTCATCTCGGTAGAAACGATTCTCTCATCTTACATATTGCCGACTTAGCACGGCAAACATTATGAAACTCATTTAGATCTAATTACAATGTGCTACTGTATTTATCCATTCATTATCATGAATTAGCAAGGTTTCTCCATATAATGTGGCGGAAGGTACTTCCGCGGATTGGATGATTGAAGTTTCAATTTGAATCGTTATCGGCACATAAAATGCCCTATTACTCGTTTCGATACATAGTTTATATACCTAGTTTCGGTTTACCAATTATCGATCAGTCTATAAAATATAACCTTAACTTTTCAACCTTGTTGAAGATATTTCCGGATACTATATTATACATGAGGACGTGCTTACGTTAGTGGTTACAGAATTGTCGATGACAGCATACCTGGCACGGTCATACCACCGGACAGGTTATCGGTAAATGAGCCTCAATTGAGATAGTCATGTTGGAAGATAATTTATTGCATAGGTGGACCGGACTGAACACTTATACTCAATGCCAAACTAATAGATCTATCTAAACTACAGCTTGTTATGACTTATTATAACTTCGTTCAATTTATGTTACAACACAACTTGAGACAGAATTGTATTTTAGCAACGTAATCATTTTAAGATTAGGAATTGAAATATTATTATGTTTGTTGTATGTTTGAACCCTTTGGAGAGTACAAGTAGGTACGTTTAAGATTATTAACATAGTCGTCGTGTTAGAGACACGTTTCCACTAATCGTTCTTTTGCGAAGGTTTCAGGAGGCAAACGATGGCCTAAATACGATTTTATTCATTTTTCATGACAACAGTGACTCGTACGACCTGGTACTGGATTGCCTTTCTTTCATTTGGCGACGCGACGTATCCGTGATATCGTGAAATTTTATTTTTGTCTCAGCTCTTTAAAAACGAAAACAATATACATGATTGTGTCAAAGTCTATAAAATATCATAGTATTATTTAATAGTGGTATTATTTCAATATAACCTAGAGTAGTAATTATTTCAACATTTTTTGTGAAGCCTTAACAGAAAAAGGTTCACTTGTAGGTATTGCTTCGTCTAATATAATCAAAGCCGTATCGATAATGACATGATGTGATTAAAATGCGTAGGCAATTCACGAGGGCGTCACAATGAGTAACTAAACCAGTTTTGCCTTATAATTATTTCACATCGACATTATATCGAATCATTGTGATCCAAGCATTAATTTACATTCGAGATTTTGGTTACTGAATCTACTGTATATTTTTAGCAATGTACCTATCAGATAACAGAGGTAATGCTGTACCATATAATTAAAAATAGTAAAATATAAATTGACATGTACTCATAAAAATTGATTGATAAACAGAAGAGAAAACGGTACTAAAGTGCTATGTGACCGTCTTTCACGGATGTCTTTTGTAATATTAGTTAAAGATATTTAAACTAGTTTAAACCAGTAGTAGTTTAAGTGGTAAAGCAGTTTAAACTATCAAAAAAATATTTTGCAATTAAAGATAAAATGTTGATGCCGATATCAAACAAAACAGACCTTTAATTGCAAAGATTGAAAAAAGTCGAGAGTTTAACATACCAATACTTATGTGCTTCATAGACTACATAAAGGCTTTTGACTGTGTTCGGTGGGACTGGTTGTGGAAAATTCTGCAGGAAATGGGTGTATCTCAATATCTATAGTATAGTATCATAGTATCATTGATCGCTAGCCCCTACCGGCATGGTGTGTCTATGGTTAGAGAGAATGACTTCATCTCGAGATCTTTTAAGTCAGAAAAAGGGGTGAGACAGGGGTGCATGCTTTCTCCTATGCTTTACAATGTGTATGGGGAATATATAGTGAGGAATGTCTTAGAGGAGTGGAAGGGGGCATCTAAGTCGGTGGCATGAAAATTAGCAATCTGAGATATGCGGACGATACTTCGCTTTTCGCGTCATCTGAGAAGGAACTTGCTGACCTATTCCGTAGGGTGGAGCGTGAGAGTGGTTTGATGGGCCTCTCTCTTAATAAGTCCAAAACAAAGGCCACGATAGTGGACAGGACCAGTCAACTCTCTAGAACTAGAGAGCTATAAGACCTAGAATTTGTTAGCGAGTTCATATACTTCGGGTCTTTACTGACCGACCACGGGGGCAGCAAAGGAGAGATCAGGAGGAGGACGCAGATGCCCTAAACAGCGATGACCAAGCTCACACGAATATAGCAAAATCGCAGTCTCCAACGTCACGAAAATGAGACTCGTCCGAACCCAAGTTTTTTCAACGGTGCAGAGTCCTGGACAACTAGGGCATCAGAACACAAGAAAATAGACGCATTTGAAATGTGGTGCTGGAGACGAATGCTCTGAATTCCGTGGACGGCCAAGAGGACAATTCAGTCTATTCTATATCAGCTTCGCACCGAGTCAGGCTCTCAATAATCTGCTACCAGAGGATTCTCAGCTAC